GTACATGGGGCTAGAAGAGAGGTTAGGAAGGAAGGAGCTGAGCCCAGTGTATGCTCCCGGAAGCTGCCTGCCTCAGCCTGGCTTCCTTCATGGCCGCGTTTACCTATAGAAATGGTTAGAGGACTAGCTTCCCAAACCCTGCAAGGGCCACATTATCTGAGCCTGGCACTTAGAGATTACGGGAACCAGGATCAAAGGCAGAGGCCAAAGTTCTGATTAATTTATTATCACTAGTAACATTTTAACTAATAAATCTTCATAGTGTCATTTCTTTCTCTTCTTTCTCCTCTCTCCATTTCATTAATATCACTACTTCTGGTTCTGTTCTCTTTCCATCTGATGCATGAAACAAAATACAGTTGCTCCTTGTTCTTCGCAGTAGTTATGCTCTGTAAAGTCACCATGAAGGCTGAATTTCAAATCCTGAACAGTTGCTCCTAGGGAAATACGGGCTTAGGTTCTTGTGATCCTCTGGTTACAACATTTTTGTCACTCAATACAGAACCTTGTTTTATGTGTATTTCTATTTAAAGATACTTATTTCATATATATTGTTGATTCATTAACCTTGAACTCATGGTCAATAGCACAATAACTCATGCCTGAAAGTAGCTTCCCTAACACATGTATTTTCTCTGTAAAGCACATCACAGCCTTCTTGTACTTAGAGACACCAGACAGTAAGTACTTTAAGCACTGTACTTGGGGCCATTTTAAATAGCAAAATCACCCCCAAAAAGCACAAAAATGCAAAAACCATGGACTAAATGGGCCAAGAAAAAAGAAAATGTGTTTATAAGAGCTAAAACAAGAAAGCAGAGTGTCACCTTGTGCAACCTAAGCATATGTATTGGGTGACCTCAAATTTTTCACTGCTTTGTGCATGTCACAAATGACTGCAAAGGTGCTGTGAATATTGATTCTGGGGTTGCAAATAGATTTAAATGAGTAGGTGAATGTAGAGATATGGAATCCATGAATCATGAGGCCTGATCATAAGTAATTTCCCTTCCATCTCCCCAACCTTCCCTGAAAAGACCCAACCTCATCCATAAAGATATATAAATTTACCTTGGATGTTTTGGGAAAACAGTTATCTCTATGTAAGACTGTGTTCTTAAATACATTACTCCTATCTCATAAATGTGTGTTCATTTCAGCATTTTTTAGCTTGGCATTGAACCAGAAGAGGTAGCCTATGTCTCTATAAACACCCCCCCCTTTTTTTTTTTTTTACCCCATCTGTCCTAGTGATCAAGGGGCCTCAGCCCTGAGATTCCAGCCTTCTGCTTTTCTTGAGACCCACTGAAGCATGGCTCCTGCAGGTGCTGCTCCCTCCCCTCCAGCCCCCTCAACTTCCTGTAGTGCACATTTCCAGCAGCGCTTAGCAATTGAAGGTGTCTCACTTTCACATCCCTGGGCCATGAGAGCCCTGCTATCATACAGACTGAGGTGACAGTGGGGGAAATAAGTGGTTCTCTGGGCAAAGATCACCTGGAAACAACTGCTGCCAAATCCATAACACTGAAGGGAACAAAATCAGCATAGTGCAGAAAGCTATCCAGGCTTGTCACGCTCAAACCACACAGCCCCTCAATGCAAAGCAGCCCTGTTAAGATGCGCCTGGGAATTTCCTCTGAAGCTTGAAGCTGAGAAAATTGTCAAGACTTGGGTGAAAGGAAACTTCATCTGTGGGTTAGATTAATTTTCATAAGAAAGAGGAGGCCGGGCGCGGTGGCTCACGCCTGTAATCCCAGCACTTTGGGAGGCCAAGGCGGGCGGATCACAAGGTCAGGAGATCAAGAAGACCATCCCGGCTAACACTGTGAAACCCTGTCTCTACTGAAAATACAAAAAAATTAGCTGGGCGTGGTGGCGGGTGCCTGTAGTCCCAGCTAATCAGGAGGCTGAGGCAGGAGAATGGCATGAACCCAGGAGGCGGAGCTTGCAGTGAGCCGAGATCGCGACATTGCATTCCAGCCTGGGCGACAGAGCGAGACTCCGTCTCAAGAAAAAGAAAAGAAAAAACAGAAGAATGAGCCCAGCCAGAGGAAGAATTGATCTTGCTGGTTTGGTCAGGGACTGGCTGATTAGTTACAGAGAAATGACCAAGGAAGAGTGATGTGGTGGGACCACCCCACCCAGCACCAGGCTCTGCAGACAAGCACGTTTGACTGGTCTGCAAAGGACTGGGGGCACTGCCTTGTGCGGCAGGATCCCACTGTGCAAAAGAAAACATGTGGACACAGACCTGTGGCCTCAACACTGAAGAACAGAACCCAGTTGCAGGGCCTGAGTTGGCCTTGCATCCACTCCACTGGCTTCATTAACAGGTATCACTTGTCCTCCAGGACGCCATCCTGAGGCCTGCCTGTGCATCACACTGCACGGGGTGCCTGGTCTCCAAGGCACAGCCTTACATCGTGCACATTCTGCTGAGCAGTTGACTTTGCTGTACGTGCAGGCATGCACAGGGGACTTCTTAGTATACAGAGATACACATTTCAGAAACAAAAAGTGAAGCTAAGGATGGCAGCATGAGGCATGATTTTTACTAATGTTTAGAAATAGAGGGATATTGAAATACTTGAAAACATTATCCAAACCTTCAACACCAAATTCTCTTGCTGTGCCTTCAGAACTTAAAAGACTTGAAAGTGCACCAAGTAAAGGCTGATCTCAACCCACACATAGACTTTTTCAAGCTCCACAAGAGACACTCGGAAATCTCTTTTCTATGCCCACCTTGCCATAATTAACACAGAAAACAGATATTATGCTTGGGTGTCAACATAAATGTTAACTCTCTACATAGTTATAAATAAACAACCAGCCCATCTGGTGCATTTAATTTACATCTAAATGATTGATTCACTCAATACGCTTGTTGAGCATCTACCATGTGCAAGTCATTATGTCAGGCGCCATGTGAGAGAAAAATGAACCTCCTGCCTCCCTGACAACAGGTAGGCAGAAATGGCTCACAAAAGGAAGAGACTAAGGATCTGGTCCGAGAGTTCCACTTTCATCCTGGGGACTGTGTGATTTCCAGGTTCTCTACTATCCACACCTCTTCTTGCCTCTATATGGGACCGGCCAAAGCCACCTGCAGATTCTAGTTCTTGGCAGGACTCTGGCTCATGAAAGCCCACATGTCCAGTTCTCCCTGAGTGTGGTCTTCAGCGCACCCCACCCTCAGGCTCCCTTCTGGAAAGCAGGGTCCTGGGCCCACCTCAGACCCAGCAAATAGGGCATACAGACAAGAAATGTAAATTTTAAACAGCCTCCTAGGTAATTTTGTTTTTTTTTTTTTGGAGACTGAGTCTTACTCTGTTGCCCAGGCTGGAGTGCAATGACATGATCTCCACTCACTGCGACCTCTGCCTCCTGGATTCAAGAGAGTCTCCTGCCGCAGCCTCCCAAGTAGCTGGGACTACAGCGCACACCACCACACCCGGTTAATTTTTTGTATTTTTAGTAAAGACAGGGTTTCACCATGTTGGCCAGGCTGGTCTCAAACTCCTGACCTCATGATTCACCCAACTCGGCCTCCCAAAGTGTTGGGATTATAGGCGTGAGCCTCCACACCTGGCCTGCTTCCCAGGTGATTTTTAAGCACTCAAATGCCTGAGAACCTCTGCTATAATCTAGTATTGCCCTGTTCAAGTGCTACAGTGTGAGAGGGAGGCAAGTTGACCACGTTCAGTGTGAGTGGAAGCAAGTTGGCACTTGCCACAGGTAGGGAAGGGAGCCAGGGAGGACAGTCAAGTCACTGTGCTGTGCTGCTGACCGGGCCGGGCTGCAGGCTCCACCTGGGAGACATCTCTGTAGTTCTTCTCCACCAGGAAGAAGTACATGCCTCATCACACAGGTGTGCTCAGAGGAGGGGGAAGGGACGCACATGCAATGCACATGCAATTGGTAATTAAAAAGAGAGCTAGCCTTTGTGAATAATTAACTGAATGCTGGGTTGCAACCACAGTTGCCACTTAGCAATGTCCCTTGCATGCTCTTTTGAGCAGAAGAGGACAGGGTGGGGTTGCAGCCAGCAGTCTGGGGCCCATATTGACCCTGAGTGGGGCCAAGGACGTCTCCCCAGTGAACTGCACCATCTACCATGTCCCAGGGCCACCTCATCACTCACTCTTCTCTGTGGAAAAATACAAACGACTAACAAGATGCTAGACAAAAGAACTCATGTTGAATATGCCTGATAGATCTTACTGTCTTGTTTTTATCTAGGCAAACCACACATGGATGATGAGAAGGGCAGAATAGTTGCAGGCTTTCCTTGATCCTGCCCTGGTACCCATCCCAAGACCCTTTCCTACTCAGCTGTGAAGGCCTGGGGGTGAGGCCACAGCAGACTGCAATGACAACAGCCGGCAGACCTAACATCTCCTGTCTATGCCTTAGTACCTTGCTGAAGTTTCCCGCTTTCAGGCTCTATTTTACTTTTCTATCACTACCTCATTAGCATAACCTGTATGGGGACCCTGCAGCTGCCAGAGAAACCAAAACACCTGACTTAAGCAAAAAGGACACAGTAAACGTGGATTAAGAAATATCCAGAATTTACTGAATGTCTATTTTTTAAAAATCGCTAGCATTCTTTTTCCTAGCCAGTTAAAAAATAATTGTGGGTGACTCAGGACTGCAAGATATTACAGGGCTTATGATGGTCTCCTGAGATTTTATAATTGTCTTTCATAAACCTGAGATATAAATATACCCAATGCTTAAAGCAAAGTAGCATAGGTTATAGGAAGGAGAGAAGGATGGTTTAGCTGCATCACAACTGCAGGCAAGACAAGATGGCAAACCGCTAAACCTTCCAGCTCAAGATGGACATGTGCTCAGTGGGAGAATGTTGGCGGCAGAGGAGAAGAAACACAGACGCAGGCATGAAAGCTAAGTATCCCTCCTACAGACACCCACAGAGGCGCAGAGCCTGAGGTCAGGGTTTCTAAATATGCCTGATTCCCACAAATTTGACCTACCTCCCTCTCCTCGATTCAAACGCAGGTCTGGAATCCCAGGCGCTGGGCAGTATAAAATGTGGGAAGGGAAGAAGCGCACAAATCTGAGAGGAGTATCTTAAAAGTAAAACAGCTGAAACAGAGAGAAAGCACAAGACAGGCATCAACAAGCCAGAGTGCTTCCTGCTGCTGGACGATGTCTGTAATTAGGGAAGTGGGCTTTTCCTCAAAGTGTCAGCATGCAAAACAAACCAGAAAGCAGAAGTGTGAGATCCCCAGCAACATGGGGCCTCTTTTAATTGCACATTCAAAATGAAGTAATGCTCTGAGACATAGATCCCTCCAGAACACACACCAGTTGAAGAGGGAGTCAGTGCACAGGACTGTGCCATTTAGTGAGTAGCCAGCCTGGAAATGCCCTTTCCCAAGTGTTTTTACCAAAATGAACTTGGTCTTGAATTGCTAGGATGGGTATAGCAACGTTTTCCTGATTGTTTTATGTTTTTTAAAAAGTCCGACATCATAACATGGATCAAATTCAACCAGAAGATTGAAACAAATAGGAAAAGCATCCTTGAAAAGATCTTAATGGAGACCTCAAGATGCTAATTCCTAGCCAGAAGACTGAAAAAGTCAAGCGGAGATGGTCTTAATGGTGGAAGGGCCAATGTGTAGGGCAGAGGAAGGAAGGGTGCCAGCTCTCTCTGTCCCTGTTCCCAGGCCTCCTGGGCAGACAGCTGCTCATGGTGCTAGCAACAGATGCAATTTTACAGAGCACCTCTGACCAGCTCCCTCAGGGTACTTTTCAAGCATCTACTAACATTCCCTTACTTTGTGAAGCAAGCAGCTTTTGAATTTCCCACTGCAGTCTGAGATATTCCCCACGCTCAAGAAGAGCCAGAAGCTCAGCCAGGGTCCACTCCACAAAAGGCCGTGAAACATCACTGGAAATGCAAGATAAAAAGGAATCCTCCCCCAGAGCGGTGGAAGCTGGAAGGAGTCATGTTGATGAGTTTGCTGGGGTGGGGTTAGGAGTCTCGCGAGGGGAGTGTTCAGAAACGCAACAGTAGGCAATCTGCACCTGCATCCCAAACTGGTGAAAATGACAGCTTCATGAAAAACAGGTTCTCGTTTTATAGAAGATAAACTTCAGCCACAGAGAGGTTGGGTGTATGTCTTTAGTGCTGGCCAGAGTGACCATGATGATGAAGGTGATGAGGATAATGCAAAACAGCTATTCCATGAGTACCTGACTCAACAGATATCAACTGATCTGCACAACATTCCTAATGGTAGATACTATTGTTATCCTCAATTCACAGACCTGGCCACTGAGGCTCAGGAGGAACAACTGGCTTGCTGAAGAACACACAGTATGTAGTGGAGCCAATATTTGAAGCCCACCTCTTCTCTTAGCTACCATCTTCAGGTGGCAGTAAAAAGGCACTTATAGTCAACCCATCCAAATGTAAGCTTGGGGCTTTCCTGCCTAACCTGGAGCTCCTTCTTGTTCCCTGGAGCTGGGTTCTCAATGTGTGTCTCTGGACGAGCAATGTCAGCATCACCAGGAAACATGGAAGATATGAAAATTCTTAGGGTTCCACCCTGAGCTGCCAAATAGAAACTCTGGGGTGAAGCTCTAGGTTCTGTATTTCAAAAGCTCAAGTTTGAGAACTTTGGCCCAAGAGCTCCATCCATTTATGAAGATAAAAATCCAAGTTCTCTTAGATCACTCCCTTCTCTACACTGCTTAAAGTCAACCCCTTGCCAATCCCACCTATCTCACCTCTCAGCCTCCCACACATGCCCACTTGTCTCCAAAACCACATAACATCCTTTCCCTCCACATCTCTTTTGAGTAGCTCTGGCTGTCAGTGCCCCCACTTTGCTCCCTTCCTACATGTTCTAAGCTGTGGCCCTTTTCTCTGCTAAAAATTCTCCCACTGTCCAGACTACCCTTTGAGCTCAGGATAAACATGTCCCTGTCCTCACCATCAAAACCAACATGCTTTCCTTTTGTACCACTGACCACTGTTTTGATTTAATTTACCTTTACTTTCTAGCATGTGCATTTTTGATGAATGTCTGTTTGTCCTATAAGGGCAGGAATTGTATCTGTTTCTAGTAAGACTTGAAATTGAATAGTGTGAGTCCTCCAACTTTGTCCCTTTTTTAGTGGGTGTTGTGTTGGGTATTCTAGGTCTTTTACCTTCTCAAGTAAAGTTTAGAATCATTTTGTCATTATCTACAAAACAGCTTGTTGGGATTTTGATTGGGATTGGGTTGAATCTACAGATCAAGCTTGGCAGAATGAACATTTTAACAACATTGAGTCTTCCAACGTATGAACATGGACTACTTTTCCATTTATTTACATCTTCTTTGATTTCTTCCATCAGTATTTTGTAGTTTTCTGCATACAGATCCTGTATATATTTTGTTAGATTTATGCCCAAGTATTTTTTTGTGTTTTTGTCTTTTTGGTGCTATTATAAATAGTAATTGTTCTTATTTCAAATTTCAGTAGTTTACTACTTGCATATAGGAAAGCAACTGACTTTTGTATATTGATCTAGCATCCTGCAAACTCACTTATTGGTTATGAGAGTTTTTTTATGGATTCTTTGAAGTTCTCCATATGGACATGTGTATTATCTGTGAATAAAGATGTCTTATTTCTTCTTTTCTGATCTGTATGAGTTTTATTTTGCTTTCTTGCACTAGCTCGGGCTCCCAGTAGGATATTGAACCAAAGTGGTAAGACAGGACAGTCTTACCTTGTTTTCAATATCAGAGGGAAAGTGTTCAGTCTCTCACCATTAAGTATGATGTTACCTGTAGGTTTTTTTTTTTTTTTTTCCTTAATGTTCTTTATCAAGTTACAAAAGTTTCCCTCTATTCCTAGTTTAAGATTGTTTTTTTTGCCATGAAAGTGTGTTTTGATTTCGTCAAATGCCCTTTCTGTCTCTATTAACATGGTCATATGATTTTTCTTCTTTAGCCCATTGATGTGATGGATCACATTAACTTATTTTCAAATGTTGAACCTGTTTTGCATTACCTGGAATAAATTCCACTTGGCTGTGGCACATAGATCTTTTTATACATTGTTGGGTTTGATTTTCTAATATTTTACTGAGGGTTTTTGTATGTATAAGTAATATTGCTTTGCAGTTTTCTTATAATGCCTTAACTGGTTTTGGTATTAGGTGAAATCTGAACTCATAAAATGAATTAGAGACTGTTTTCTCCATTTCTATTTTCTGGAAAAGATTATGGAAAACTGGTATTCTTTCTTTCTTAACTGTTAGATAGAATTCACCAGTGGACCCATCTGGGCCTGAAGATTTCTGTTTTAAAGGTTATATTAATTTAAATTTTAAAGATATAGGGCTATTCAGGCTACCTATTTCTTCTGTAAGTTTTAGTAGTTTGTGTCATTCAAGCATTAGTTTATTCCACCTAAGTTACCACATTTGTGAGTATAGAGTTGTTCATGATCTTCCTTTATCATCTTTTTATATCTATTAGATCAACAGTGGTGACCTTTCCTTCATTTCTGATATTGGTAAATTGCATCTTCTACATTTTTTTTTCCTTTTTTTCTTGGCTAAAGGTTTATCAATTTGGTTGATAATTTCAAAGAACCAACATTGGTTTTATTGACTTTACTGTTTTCCTGTTTTTAATTTCAATGATTTCTGCTTTCATTTTAATTATTCCTTTTCTTTTGCTTGGCTTACGCTTAATTTGCTCTTCTTTCTGTAGTTTCTTAAAAGTAGAATCACAAGTAATTTGCTTTATATATTTTTTACCTAATGTGTGCACTTAGTGCTATAAATTTCTCTGTAAGCACTGCTTTTACTACATCCCAAAATTTTTGATAAATTATATTTTTATTTTTATTCACTTTAAAACATTTTTTTAAATTTTGGAGACTTCTTCTTTGACACATATGTTATACAGAAGTCTGTTCTTTAATTTCTAGGTATTTGGGAAATTTCCCAAAACTCCCATCTTTTTGTTGTTGATATCTAGTTTAATTCTATTGTGTTTTGAGAACATAATTGGTATGACGTTTATTCTTTCAAATATGTTAACATGTTTTCCAAGAATGTGCTCTATCTTGGTGAATATGCCATGTGAGCTTGAGAAGAATGTGCATTTTTCTGTTGTTGAATGGAATATTTTATAAATGTCAATTAGATCAAGTCGACAGTACTGCTCAGGTCATTTTTATCCTATCTATTTGGTCTATCAACTATTGTGAGAAAGAGATTAAAATCTCTAACTATAAGACAGGATTTGTCTATTTCTCTTTTCAGTCTTATCAGTGTTTGTCTTGCATATTTTGATGCTCTGTTGTTATGTGCATACACATTTAGGATTGTTATGTCTTCTTGGATATTCGACCCTTTTACCATTCTGTAACAATTTCCTTGAAGCCCTGACCCCTGTTGACTACGAGTTTTTTGTCCTTTAAGTGATAAAGTGAGGAGGGTGCTGGAACTTGAGGAATTCCCTTGGAAATTCCCAGCTGAGGCAAGGCTCTTGCAAAGTGTTTTCCCTTGGAAAGTAACCTTTGTCATGGATACAGCCTAGGTGTATTTCACAGTTATCACTCTTCCCCCGCCCTGCCAGGGCCATGAGGAGCTCTTTCTCAGATCTTCACCATAAGAACCTAGTGAGGCTTGTATTAATCACGCCTTTCAGCTTCTTTTATTTTCTGGTAGCTATGTCTACGGTGTTATTCAAAGAGATAATTAGCTCCAGGTGTGGACCTCAGGGCCTTGTACCTGAGCTGTGTGGAGTGCAAGTAAGACTCCCACTGAAGGCAATGCTTGAAGCTGCTGTGTGGTGAGGCAGAGATTTCTGCCTGATAGCCTCTGAGTGAGCCTGTGCCCAATATGACCTAGGCTCATACTGTGGGCCTAAATATTGGGAGGCAGGAGGACTGCCTGGTGGGTGTGCACTATACTAAATCATCACCCTTCTCCAGCTTCTGCAGGTGCAAGTACATCTGCCATACAATCAGTCTCTGCTAATAAGATACTGATTATGTTTTAGAAATATTGACTATGAAAAATTATTCTTTCATAAGAAAAATGTGTAATAATTAGAAGATTCTTATTTTGGACTTGCTACTAAGTTTAAACAGAAATATCACATTGATGAGACTGCTTTTAATCCTGAAGGCTGTGATCTGTCTACTTCTGGACTTTTTTTGCTGATGCCCTTCTGGTACCAAAACTGTGCCAGTCACATCATCCCAATAAAAATCTGCTGACTTAATTAACTAATATAAAGTGTAAGGCTAAGAGACTTTCTCTGTATTATAAAACAGGTCAACTATTTCATAACCATATCTCTCACAAAAAGAGTCAAATTTAACTTGCTTTTAAAAATTATTTCCTTGCTTTGTAAAAGAAAGAAGTAAAATATAGTTTATTCTCATTATTTCAGGTTATATGTTCCATAAAGTCACCCCCAAAACTGAATTAGCAAGTAGTAGCCCATTGCTTCTCAGGGGTTATGTGCCTGAGAGCCTGTGGTCACCATATTTTCAACAACTGATTAATGCATCACTTGTTTTATGTGTTTCTGTGTAAAGGCACCTTATTTCATATCTATTGTTAATGCATTACCATTGAACTCATGGCCAACAGCACTAACTATAACTCACACCTGACAGAGGCTTCTCTAACCCACATATTATCTCTATAAGGCACAGCACAGCCTTCTTACACCTAGGGACACCAGATAGCACTTCAATTGGGGGCTACTCTAAACAGCAAAGTCACCACAATTTGAAAAAAGGAACAAAAATGCAAAAAATATAGCACTAAGTAGACTGAGAAAAAGACACTTACTTATAATATGAGGTGAAACGAGGAGTTGGAGTGTCTGCAAAATGCATGTGGCTAAAATTTTGTGCCACTCTGTGATATGGTTTGGTTGTGTCCCTCCCCAAATCTCAACTTGAATTGTATCTCCCAGAATTCCCACATGTTGTGGGAGGGACCCAGGGGGAGGAAATTGAATCACTGGGGCCGGTGTTTCCCATGCTATTCTCATGGTAGTGAATAAGTCTCATGAGATCTGATGAGTTTATCAGGGGTTTCTGCTTTTGCTTCTTCCTTATTTTCTCTTGCTGCTGCCATGTAAGAAGTGCCTTTTGCCCCCCTCCATGATTCTGAGGCCTCTCCAGCGATGTGGAACTTTAAGTCCAATCAAACCTCTTTTTCTTCCCAGTCTTAGATATGTCTTTATCAGCAGTTTGAAAATAAATGAATACAGTAAATTGGTACCAGAAGAGTGGGGTGTTGCTGAAAAGATACCCCAAAATGTGGAAGTGACTTTGGAACTGGGTAACAGGCAGAGGCTGGAACAGTTTGGAGGGCTCAGAAGAAGACAGGAAAATGTGGGAAAGTTTGGAACCTCCTAGAGACTTGTTGAATGGTTTTGACAAAAATGCTGATAGTGATATGAACAATAAGGTCCAGGCTGAGGTGGTCTCAGATGGAGATGAGAAACTTGTTGGGAACTGGAGTAAAAGTGATTCTTGTTACGTTTTAGCAAAGAGATTGGCAGCATTTTGCCCCTGCCCTAAAGATCCGTGAAATTTTGAACTTGAGAGAGATAATTTAGGGTCTCTGGCAGAAGAAATTTCTAAGCAGCAAAGCATTCAAGAGGTGACTTGGGTACTGTTAAAGGCATTCAGTTTTATAAAAAAAGCAGGACATAAAAGTTTGGAAAATTTGCAGCCTGACTATGTAATAGAAAATAAATACCCATTTTCTGGGAAGAAATTGAAGCCATCTGCAGAAATTTGCATAAGTAGCATTGAGCCTAATGTTAATCCCCAAGACCACGGGGAAGATGTCTCCAGGCCATGTCAGAGACCTTCACAGCAGCCCCTCCCATCACAGGCCTGAAGGCCCAGAAGGAAAAAGTGGTTTCATGGGCTGGGCCCAGGATCCTCATGCGTGTGCAGCCTAGGGACTTGGTGCCCTGTGTCCCAGCTGCTCTAGCCGTGGCTGAAAGGGGCCAACGTGGAACTCAGGCTGTGGCTTCAGAGGGTGAAAGCCCCAAGCCTTGGCAGCTTCCACGTGGTATTGAGCCTGTGAGTGCACAGAAGTCAAGAATTGAGGTTTGGGAACCTCTGCTTAGACTTCAGAAGATGTATAAAAATGCCTGGATGCCTAGGCAAAAGTTTGCTGCAGGGGCAGGGCCCTCATGGACAACCTCTGCTAGAGCAGCACAGAAGGGAAATGTGTAGTCGGAGCCCCCACACAGAGTCCCTACTGGGGCACTACCTAGTGGAGCTGTGAGTAGAGGGTCACCTTCCTACAGACCTCAGAATGGTAGATCCACTGACACCCTGCACCATGTGCCTGGAAAAGCCG